CAACTTGTTTTCTATTTTATGTTGCCTTGATAATTTTTCTTCCTAGTGAATTTATGTTTTGACCTCTATTAGTCTCTCACTTTAAATTAAAAGTTACATGAGAATGAGATATACACACAATTTTAAAAAAAAATCACTTCCAATAACCATTTTATTTCATAACACACTCATAAAGAAATTGTAGGAATCATTTTAACATCCTGTTCCTCTAGATTTCTGGTAATCGATAAATATTGTACCGACCCTAGGTTCTTTTTCAAGATAAACAAATAAATAAATAAATAACCCATCGGCCTCTTGTTTTCTGAGCACATTGTACAAATAAGGGATGGGCTCCGTTTGATTCTCTCCGGGACAGAGAATAGTACTCTGCATCATGTTGCAATGAAAGCAATGTGAAACGAATGTATCATTGTCATATGCCAATGTATACATAGTAAATTTATTCTTGGGCTAACATTTACTCCTGACCAATATTCCTCTTTCTTTAGCCTGTGTCCAATAAAATGTACTCCTTTTTCTGTTCGATAAGCTCTTCCTATCTGGAAAGCATATGATTCGATGTAGACGCGATCCAGAAATGGCTTAGGCCATTGTATGGAAAGCATCCAATTCGAAAGAAACCAGCAACGTACTCCTTTCATTTCATTGAGCCGTTGTCAACCTTTGCCTACCAAATTCCCTTTTTTTTTTCTCTCTTTTTGGCTGCTCTTTTACTAGGTCTCTCATATTTTATTCCCATTTCATACGCCAATTCTAATAATGCTCAGATAAAAGAATAAATCTTTCACACATTAATAATTAATGGATACACTTACGGATTTAGACGTATGTTACATGTTCAAAATATTTTGTTAAAATTAAAATTAAGATAATGTGTCATATTCATCCAAATCCATTAATATATTTATTGACGTAGAAAATATTAGTCGCAGATATTTTTTTTTTTTATCCTTCAAACTTTTTTCTTTTCTTTTTATAATTTCCGGAAACTTCACAAGTTCATTAGGAAGACGCAGAAAAAGGGCTTGAAGGAGCTGGATTCAAGAAAAAACTTCTAGTACTGTTTACATATTGCTGAAACACACCAGAGTAGACTACAGAAATCAGAAAAGCATATTACTCCATCAGTAGGAAAGGGCAAAGCCTTACTTTTAATGATCAAAGACCTTATTGCAGCCATTTACTTGGTTTTGATGCCATGCTTAATCTGAGGAAGTACCAAGTCATCAGCAAAACGCCTGCCCATAAACTCCTTCATCATGAAAATGCGAAGCGCATCTTCTGGCGTCTGATTTGCACTTGATTCCACAAAGTTTCCCTTGTCAGCTGACCCCATTTCCAAACCTCTGCTTTGCATTTCTATTCCTTTTTTTTTTTCAAAAACGATAGAAATTTTATTTATAATAATGAAGAAGACATTACATTATATGGGCAAGGGCTCAAACTTGGGCTTTACAAAAGTGGAATAGGCCACTGAGGAGTGTAGAGTTCCTCATCATAGTATAAGCATAGCTAATCCACTCAGTTTTGCACTGAGTCTATTCACTTCAGCAGGCAAACAGTCAAATGAGCATTTCCTAAACATTGAGCTAAGATCTTTTGTGTCCTCCAGGTGAGTTGCCAGGCTTAAGTTGCTAGAAACTTGATACCTTATCAGCGGAGACTTTCCCTCCGCCACCACCTCCAGTAACTTGGGTCACTTCTTTTGTTTGCTGAGATTCTCAGATTTCACATCATTCATTGTCTCAGAAATAATTTTAGCCACTGTTTTTCCACCAGGGATCAATTCCCGGAGAGCATGACGAGCAGCATTTTGGGCGAACTTGGAAGCGAAAAGGCCGATCATTGACCGGGTTTCCTCGCTGGGCATGTAGTCATTGAGCGCCTGCATCCAGTTGACTCTGACGGCCTTATCGATGTTGCCAACGACGGCAGAGCTGTAACCGTAGGAGGCTTTGCATGCATCTATGACGGCCGTTGGAGCGGGTGCGTTTCGCTTCCCGGCTTCAGTTGTTGAGTTGATCAAGTCCCAGAATCCCATCTGCTGCTCTGCTTTTGTTATCGATCAATTTTCAGATGTGGAACCACTATAACTATTGCAGGTCTGCTATTAGTCGCAAATAAAATGTGATGATTGGTGAATGAGGCGGCAATGTCCCAATATATATTGATTATTTGGGATAAGAGGGCTAATTGGAGTGCTAATGAAGTACAATAGTACATCCAAAAAAGGCCAATTTTCTAGTGATAACTTATAATCAAGTAAACTTATAAAACTTATTTAGCTAGGCATAAAATATTATCTGTATTGCTACATAACGCACTAGGTTGAGATTGGGATATTACTTTGGGCCTTAGGGCCGTGGGATCTATTATATTTAAGCGGGCGTCATGGGCGATAATCCCATTAAATTAGTCAGTTTAGGGCCATATCATGACTGTATATCTTTTCAGAGGTACTCTAATACCTTCTTTGGATTGCTTTCACTGTAAGTAAGGTTGGAATCTCCGACCTTCAATTCGAAGAGAAATTTAATTCTTGACTACTGACTCAAAACTCGGTGGTTGCAGCTGTCCATTATCAAGTAATCACAAACATGAGTTAGAAAGGCAGAAAGGAAGGTTTGGAAAAGCTTCCGACTGACTGGTTGAAAAGTAAGTGAAGGATGCTTTGGGAAAGCATCCGACTAAAGCGATAAGCAGTATATCGGTTAGTGCGTTCTCTTGGACTCTCTGCCTTAGCCTGCTTGTCCTCGCTTTCAGAAAGCGACCACACCAGAGGCAAGGAAAGAAGCTTTGGGAGAGCATCTGATATGACTCAACTCGGTAGTAATAAAATTGGACTAAGTTTGCTCATTGACGTTGAACAAGAAATATGTAGTAAACAAGAAACTCACAAGGTGAAATTAAAATTTCAAGCATAAAAGGGAAAAAGAAATCTCATGCAAACAACTTTTGATAAAGTCACGCAACAGTAAATCAAGTAGAGCAGCATATTGTGGATGTGGAAGGAGGTCAAGCCATGTCATCTGCCAATAGATGGTAGCCCCCAAACATGCCTGGTCGAGAATGGAAAAGGACCGTTTGTAAAAGCAAAGGAAGGTGCAACCGGAAGAAGATGACGGCAGGGAAACAGGCCACAATGGTGATGGGAATGTAAGCTCACTTTTGCCTTGATTGAAGTGACAGTCCAATTGTTGTGCCAAAAGATATCATGGTTCCATCTATGGTGGAAAGCTGACCTGCTTATGCACGGTGGGAAGAGCCAAGGAAATTAGGACAACTCAGCATTGTGGGCCTGGGTGAAGAAAGGTTATTAAAAGTAGTGACCGGAACCTGGTAGAAGAAGTTTCACCATGTCCATTGTACTTTTAGGATAAATAACATGTATGCCCCTCAACAACTTATGGACTTTTGTATGCACCCAAAAATTATCATTAATTCTGGAGTAGCTCCCCATGCCTGATTGGCAGGAAACAAGTTGCGGGCATTTGTATGCATTAAAGAATTATCATTAATTGGAGAGTAGCTCCCCATGCCTAATTAGCAGGAAACAAGCTGCAAAGAGCTGGAAGATTTGGAAAAATTGGTCAGATGCAATAATCCTTGGGACTATTGATTAAGCGCATTTAGTCCTATTGATTTAAGGACTATTAATCATAGGACTATTAATCCTAGGACTATTAATCATATCCAGCTTCGTTTTTTCATATTGTGCGTGCAATCAAAAAATATATAATATTTATGATAATATATTTTAAATAAAATTTTTATTATTGAAACAAACTTTAATTGTTAGTTATAATAATAGTTAGAAGTAAAAGTAGCGATGAGTAGTTATAGATAGTTAAAGTAAAATTAATTTTTATAAGGATAAAAAATGTTCATAAAATGTTAACTCCAAATCCCTTCCTCAAACTTTATATATAGTATAGATAACAATGCACCTACATTCACTAAGTATTCTATTATACTAAAATGTATCTACATTTGCACAATCTTCACATTTGCTGTCCCTTCTTCTTTTTTTCCCTTTTTTAAAAGTAATTTATCCAATTTTTGCCATTCAATTTTTTTAATTCCGTTCATTAGTTCAAAAGCGATTTTTCTTTATTGCATTTACCCTTGATAAGTTAAAAGCCCATAAATGTATTTATGTGTACTTCAATCTTAAGGATTAACTTTAATTGTTAGTTAGCGTAGATGAGTAATTATATACATAAATAAATAAAAAGAATTAATTTGTATAAAAAATTTATTTTTCACAATAATTTATTGAAGAATTTTGGTTCATAAGGTTATAGTAATTTGGTAATTACAATACTTAGGGTAGTTATATTGGCAAAATGTGATTAAGCAATTAGAGGAAAAATTAAAAGTTTTTCCCTAAGGATAAAATCGAAAGTTTAGAAAATGATTTTAAAAAGTTTATACTAACAGCGATCCCTCTAACTAAGTGCTCATAGATAGTGATTTTTTAATTGGAATCAAAATTGTAGATGAATAATTAGAAACATAATTAACATAGTGTTACAAAAAACCAGAATCGTGACATAATTGACCTGGTAGATTTTAATTTTAATTTAGAAATTAAATAAGTAAACTTATACGTAACATGGTGACTTTCAAATCGATATCAAATTTGTAGATGAGTAATCACAAATATAATTAACATAATACACCAAGAAACTAGAATTGAGATTGTAGATAAAATAATCATAAACATAAATCACATAATACAAAAGTTTCAAAGATTGAACGTTTGAACTATTACAATAACTAGATGGTTATGAATTTAAATTCTAACTCTGCAACTAGTTATACTGGACATGACAAACTATAAATCACAAATTTGACCAGTAAATTAGTGTCAAAATTTGCAAATTTTTAAATATTAAAATGATGTAATGATAAGGATAATCAAGTCACAGTAAAAATCAAAATTTACACTTTTTTTTTCTCCAACTTCTTTTAACTTGAGGAAAAAGGTTCATGAAGAACAAAGCCCCTACAAGTTACATTTGCACAAACAGTGAATCCAAGTCAAGGCACCTCAAAGAGATACCATTACAGAAAGGGTAGTGAAAAGACAACGGCATAATAGAAAAGTTGATAGAGTTGATACTACATCCAAGGCCTAAAATTGGAGACCATGTTCCCGAGCAGCATCAGCAAGTGCTTGAATACGTCCATGATAAGGGTAGCCACCTCGGTCGAAGGCCACTTTTGTAATCCCTTTCTCAAGACAGGACTTTGCAATTGCTTTGCCCACTTTCTTCGCCACATCAATAGTGGGAGCAGAGCTATAATTGAGATAATCGGAGATTGGCTTTTGCATTGTTGAAGCAGAAGCAAGAGTATGCATCTTCGAGTCATCAATTACCTGAACAGACAGATGCTTATTGGATCAAAATACAGACAGTCTTGGTCTTTCCGGTGTCCCTTCAACCTTCTTACGGATGCGCGAATGGCGGGCAGTGCGGTCCTCTCTGCGGGTTCCGGCCTTGGCTTCAATGGAGAGAGCGTTAGGCTGCCATTGGGTCGAGAACGAGGAAAGCGGCAAGGGCGAAGGAAGGAAAGGAGAAGCGAATTTGGGTGTTCTGAAACCAAGCCCAAAACTAAGTGAAGGTGCATTGCAAGACATTTCTTTGTTTGTTTCAGCAGAAAATTCTTTGCTATTCTTTCTCCTTTCTTCTCCCTCCTTAAAACACGCTCTGTTTAGCCTATCCACAGTCCCACTTCTCCCCCAAAATTTACACTTAAAAGTAAGTGTTGAATTAAAAAATTTTGTTGTGATAGGATTATCTAATGATAGCAAATCCATTGAAACAAGCAAGCAAAAAATGCAATTGATGATAAAGTAAAAAGGTGTAACCCAACATATTGTTTAAAAAACAAACATCAAATACACTATTACATCCCTTCACCAAGCTGGATACATGATATCTCTATTCAAGTCAATGTCTTCCTCCTCCTCGTCATCTACTGGTTGGTAATTAGAAAGATTACCATTGTTCAGCCATGTATAATTCGTAGTGTCCACCGATTGTTGGAACCGTGAATTGGCTCCAACCCCTGCTTTACTCCAACATCATGCAACTAACATTAAAGGGCATAAACAAATCCACCGTGATGATTAAAAACATAAAAAATAACATTTTATAGCCACCTTACAATATAGTATCCAAAAAAACAAAAAAAAAACATTTTCTAGAAAGACAAATTGGACAACCCACCTGATGGTCCAATTGATCCCAGTCATTGTCCGAGTTAAAATGCATGTTCATTCCCCCCCTCACCCAAGCGGCACTTGTATTACCCTCAAAGATGTCTGGAGACATGCCCAGAGCGTGAGACAAGTCGTCGTTGGGATTTTCTATATGCAGGGGACAAGTTCTCTTATTATGGCCTTCCCTTCCACTGCCACAAAAAGTTAGAATATACATGAAACCACTGAAAAAACATGCCATAGAAACTACAAAAATATGAACACGCCATAGAAACTACAGAATATGAAAAGTCGAAAACTTATAACAACTATTAAAACTAACCCGCAATTTCCACATTTGTTGCGGATGTGTCTTTCTTTTCCTTTAGTTCTCTGATCACCCCTCGGCCTGTTTGCATGAGGATCACCGATACCCACTTTACCAGATGCATCTCCCTTTCTATGCGCTTGTGATGAGCTGCCCGTAGCAGTAGATTCTTCTAAGGATAGGGTCTTCATTTCGGCAGTTTGTATGTCTATTACATTCAATAATCGAGTGTATCCAGTAGTAGTCTTTGCCCCATAGTAGCACATGGTATTGCAACCACTAGACAAACGAGCATACCTTGCCATTTCATTAACATTAGTGACCTCTGATCTTTCCCGTAGACTGCCACTCCTCCCACGTCTTGCATCTCTCATCCATCTCTGCATAATGCAATTAGGTGGAATTTTCTTCATTCCTTCTATCACCATTATCCTAAACATGTGACTACAAGGAAGTCCTACGGTCTTCATTTGCAGGCATGAACAACTCATTATGCCAGAAGTTCTATTGTATAAAACCCTCCTCTCCTTATTTGAATAGGAATGGGAAATAAAATGAATGCACTGGACTCCATCATCCATGGCATTATATCTGAAGTATAACCCCTGGCTCCTCATCTCAGCTCTAACCTTGAGAAAGATCCTTCGAGTGAAAACTTCTGCTGCATGCTGCTCCAAGTAGTGGGTCTCGGTTGCTGGTAGTAGACTAGTGTGCTCTGTCTCAACATTCATTCTTGCCTCCTCATGGCGAAGCCATGCATTGGCCAAATCAAAAGCTCTAAGAGTCTCAAATAGCCTTAACTCCCTATGAAGGTATATCTTTAACATAGCGTGCATCCTCTCGCACCTCTGTGTACTTCGCATGCCACCGAAAAAATAGCCCCTTAAGTATGCTAGTGCCCAACGCTTCCTCTTTCTATACACTTGGTTAACCCAGTCATTGTTCTCCATATTGAACGAACATACCAGTTTGGCCCACTTTGCTTCAAATTTGTCTATAGAACAGTTGTTGTACATACAATCTTTAAATCCTGCTCTGAAATCCTCATTACCTACATGTGAGTTAAGGTTTTGGTTCAAATGCCAGCAGCACAATCTGTGCTTCGTGTTGGGGAGACATTTTTTTATGGCTTTTCTCATTTGTGGAGCGCCATCAGTCACGACCGATATGGGTTTTTTCCCATCCATCGCCTCCAAGAAAGTGTTAAGGACCCATTCATATGCCCCTTCGTCTTCCTCGCGTACAGTTGAGCATGCAAATATGGACGTGGAGAAGTGATTGTTGATGCCGCACATGACCACAAGAGGGTGCAAGTATTTGTTTGTATTATAGGTGCTGTCAAATACAAGAACATCACCAAAGCATCTGTAGTCCTCACGTGACCTGGAATCGCTCCAGAACAACCTTGATAGTCTCCCTTCACTATCAACTGTGAAATTGAAATACAAGTTCGGATCTACATCTTTCTTACCAAATAGGTATGCAAAGGCCCCTTCTGCGTCGCCATCCGCGATCTCTTCCATCCTTTCTGAATTCATCTTATTATATAGGTCCTTGATAGTGAAAGGAACATTGTTATACCCACCGCATTGAAGCACGAACAACTTCATAATCTGACTTGTCTTCATTCCAACACGACGAAGAACGTGCGCTTGAGCATAGTCGGCTTCTGAGATGTGGCGGTGGGATTTTAGGAACTTCGTACTTGTTGGGCTTGCTAATTTGTGGTTGTGACGCATTACAATATTACTGACCACATACTTGTCCTCCTCAACTGAAAGCCTTACTTTGAAACATGCCTTACAATCAACTCTTGTGACCGCCTTTGGCTCTCTTTGCCGATCCTCTCTTTGTATGTGTTTCTCATCCCGGAGCCCGTGCCTACTACACACCCATTGCCTATATCTGACCTGACCAGTTTCGGGGTCCTTTAGCTTATAACTCTTGCGGACACTGAATCCTGTTGCTCGACCAAGCATCACGTAGAAGGCTTCAGCTTCGTTTTCCGTATTGAACTTCATTGACATCACATCTCGTTCATCTAAGTCCTCATAGTTGAAGTCTTGCACTCCTTCATGGAGCTGTCCCCTAACAGACATTGCTTGTGTTCCCTCTTCAGTTTCTGATATTTCAAATTCATCAATGGCGTCCCACATGGTCAAATCTTTCCATGAATCTTGCACTGGTCGCTTTCCGTTCGGATCATTAGCAGATTGCATCGTATGTTTACGCTGTACTCAACACCACAGGTCCTATCTTATGTTAAGGGGTCCTCATTACAGACTATTATACATGTTTTGAAAGCCATTATTTTCAAAATGCATCCAACTAGAAACCCCATCAATGTGTTTGCGAAGTTTGCATGGAAAAGAATACAAAACATTCTGCTAACGTGTAAACAAAAAATTTGAAGTGTATTTAAAGGGAAACTAGTGTATTTTTCTTGGCTTATAAGAAATAGTTTAGCCGGCCCAAAAACACAGTCCACTACCAATCTCCTAATACAGTTCCAGGCCCGCCATGATTCATGGTTGGCTCATTTTCGATTCTTTGTAGTGAAATATTTGTCTATTCTTTTTTTTCAGGCATAATATTTGTTTCCTCTGTTTTTTTTTTGCAGGTTAAATATTTGTCTATTCTTTTTTTTTTGAAGGTAAAATATTTATCTATCCGAAGCCAATTTTTTTTTCTTGAAGTATCTATTCAAATAGTACACAGGGAAACATGAACAAGCCACAAGGAACAAAATGTCAAAAAAATTAAGATTCAGATTAGAGTTACCTTCTTGGAATCCACCTTTCTTTCTAGATCAACCTGCTCGTCTCCCACTCACAAGCTCATTGTCGTGGTTGCCAATTGCCCATACATGGACCACTATTTATCTATTCCATGGAGATCATATGTTTTAAGCTACACATATAGTGGTTGTTGGGTGTTTACTCCCCTTCATAAACAGTGTATTTATTTTGAATAGACTTCAGGTTTTGAAACAAGGGAAAGACGTATCATTTATTTGGCAAGCAAGTAATCTTTTTTTTACTTGTCCTGTAATTTCATTAAATTGCTTTCCAATTCCATGATACTTGCCCAACATCTCCAATCAATTGAAATCGCGGGAAATTATTATCATTTATTCGACAAGCTAGCAATTCAGTTCTTTTAAGATTTGAAGATCTTCTGACTGTCAACCCCATAAATTCAATTCAACCTATCATCTATTTATGGTTTCCTCTATACAAATTGATCAATTTAATCAAATGGAATTCCAATTGATTGTAGGGGTGAGGAAATGGTGCAAATTCGGTAATCTGGTTAGTTGAATTCGGTGAATTCGGTTATTTGACTTATAGAAATCTAAACCATTTTCAATTTCGAATTGATTATAACCGAATTCATTTTGCAACCCCTTTCGAATTCGAAAATGGTAATGAATTCGGTTAACTGAATTCATTTATAAAAAAAAAACCGATTTTTTAAAAATTATTACTGATGTGAATCCCCAAATTTATGAATAATTTAACACATTACATATGTTCTAATCAATATGAACTTTAATTTAATTGGCATTTATTTCATCGCTTATACGTAGAATCCTTAGTCTATGATTTAAGGAACACATAAAAAGTGATTAATTTAAACTAGAATAAACCTTAGACTATACAATGATTAGTGATAATAAACCGTAGACTAAAATTATATGTTGTACATTATTATATATTATTATTATTATTATAAGTACATGATAATACCATATAATAACTTTTATTAATAGCATTTACCTATATAATATAATACTAAATAGCATTTATGTATAGATGAACCGAATTTTATAAACTAATTTGGTATTAGAATGCGGTAATGCAGTACCCTATTTCATATTACCGAATTTGAATGCGAAATTGGTTATTACCAAATTCATAATCTCATTACCTATTTCATGCCATATTAGAATTCGATGAATTCGATACGTATTGAATTTGTACCAAATTACCAAATAGCCGATTTCAAACTACCAAATTCATAATCTGAATTCGGTCATGAGTTTGATATGTATCGAATTTGCTCACCCCTAATTTAGACATTGCAACATAGCAATTCCCGATTTCAAATATAATTCGGGCAAATTAAGATTCTTGATTGACAATATAAGTGTCAACTATACTTTATGATGGTTTATCTATACTAATTTAGTCATTTATCTATTCCAATTAGGGCATTGCAACATGGTAAATCATGCAAGTAAATTTTAATTAGGGCCCCTTAAGATTCTTGATTGATAATAATTCAACTACATATTCCCTCGTACATCTTCAATTTACAATGCATAATCTATTTTTTTTTGTAATTCTAATAAATTTAATAATTTTTCAGATCGAATATATGTCTGACACGTTCAGATCGATTTTTAGCTAGATTATATGTCAAAAAATTATATGTTTTTTTTCAAAAAATTAAAAACTTTGCAATTCTCAATTTCATCTTGTAACCTCTTGAATGTCACTGACTTTTTTTTATTTACCATAATCTAACTGTCAACTATATCAATTGTGCATTATGATAGTTTATCTATACTAATTTAGTAATTTATCTATTCCGATTAGGACGTTGCAACATGGTAAATCATGCAAGTCAATTTTAATTAGGGCCCTTGACACTATTTAATTATATGTTTGTAGCATACATCTATTGACATTACTTGCATACAATAGTAGACCGGCTATGCAAATTTAAAATTTGGAATGAAAATTCAAAAATTAGTCGCCGCGTGGTGAATGAAAATTTGAAAATCTATCCATTGAATTGAAAATTTGACTACCAATTTTATGGCGCCATTTCCCTAAAATTTTCATTTTACGCTGCTGGCGCCTTTAGTTTGGTTTCCTCCCAATCATCGGGACACATGTATATATATAGATATTATGCAGCTCTTGATTAACATTTTGCAGACAAATCACATAATAATTAAGATCATGAACAAGGTGAGAGGAGCATTCCATCAAGCAGAAGAGTCATCTAGTGCGTCGGGATTTCCAGATTTCTCTACTAGGAAAACATGGTAACCATACTGCTAGCCTTAGTTTTACTCTTTTACAACTGAATGTTTAAATAGTATATTGATCTTCAAACCCATTTGACCATGGAGCTACTTCGAATCACATTTAGGGGCATCAAATCTGGATGATAGAGACATTGGTGATGGTTCCACTTGTTTGCGGAAGAGAAATATGAGATAAATGAGACTTATGAGAACTATGAGACTGATGAGGCAGTTGAGACAGATGGAAGCGGGCTTCGAGGTCCTCCCCTTAACACTGCTGGTCGGAGATCTTGCTGATGCAGTTGTTGAGCAGTGAGTGATGGCTGAAGATGAAGGCCAATATGTGGAGGGACCTAGTGGGGCATTAGGATAGTTATGTTGTGGTGTGTTTGCAAATGGATGCACAACAGGACGATCAGTGGGCTGACGGACATTTGGGGTAATTGTTGAGGTATGGCCGGTATAAGCCCTCCATGCCGCATCTGCCTCCAGGAATGATCTATAGGATTGAAAAACTGCTCCGTTGTACCTGTTCGTGGCAGCTTGACATTCAACCCAAGTTTACATCACACCGATTCTCCTACCGGAGAAAACAACGTAGTACTTTTTTCCGGCCATTATATGTGCAGTGATGTTGAGTGATAAAGATGAATTGGATGGACTCCTTGCAACTACCTTAATAGATCCGGACTCCAAACTTTCATCGATTGTGATCTATAATATGCAGCTGCACCTATAGCCTATTTGAATTAGAAATATTTATTTAGTTGTTTGTTTGGTGTATAATGAAATATTTTTTAATGGCTAAATGATAACAGCTGTATTAAAAAAAACTCATTTTAATCCCACAAATTTGGTGTATAACGTGCTTCTTGCTCCCAAATGTCATTATTGCAGGTCAGGCTTTGGTAAATAGGATTGTACACAAAAGTTGATATGTCACTTTCAGCACCGATTGGCGCAAAGCTCCATCATTGCATACAATTGTGACTTCAAATTCAAAGTGCAACCCAGATATCAATGCATTTGTAACTTCAAATTTGAAGCGTGTTGCGGTTAAAGGAAGTGGGGTTGAGGTCATTACTCTTGAGGGAGCCAAAGGAAGAGAACGCCTTCTGGACAAGGAAGTGTGTTGCAGTTAACATCATGTCGTTTCTTCTAGACAAGGGAGCCAAAGGAAGAGAACGTGACCCTCGGCCCTGCTGTGAGGGACGGAGAGCAAGTTTTTGGGGTTGCCAACATTTTTGCTTCATTCAATGACACCTTTATTCATGTTACTGATAGCACTCGATGATTGGTGGTAGAAGGAGAAGAAGGCTGTAAAACTTTGTACTGTGATAAGAGGAAAATAAAATTCAATTTCTGCAGTAACCGTCACTCTCGTTTTTAATGCTGCTGCCTGCAGTAACTTTGATCATGACAGAATTTTGATTGTGATATTTTAGAGGTTATTAGGTGCTTAGTTTAAAAAAAATTAATGTAAATAAATATCAACTTGCTGTCATTAATTTGTGTGTCATTAATTTGATAGAACGTGTAAGCCACCAAATTACAAAAGACCAATAACATAGTCATCCAAATTACAAAAAACCAATAACGGCCTGACCAATCAAATTACAAAAGACCAATAACAAGCCACCAACAAAGATATAGTTACTCATCATGCGCATCTAATATCACGGCAAAAAACATGTACAATTAATTTTCTAAAATCTTGCAACTTGTTGAGCTCCACATGAGTTTACAACGTAATCATCCGAACAAGTTCTCCAATCCGGCGAAATCATACACGCAGAGGTGTCGAACTTCATTGCCTAAGTCCAGGAAAAGGTCAAATGCAATCCTCAGACGATCCAAACTTGTCACCTTTTAACATACATCACCTTTCATTCTTAGTTGAATGCAATAGTAAAATATAGATAAAGAGAACAAATAAATCAAATTGCTCATTCCTTAGTTAGCTTACATGCAACTTGAAGCCAGACTTAACATCACCACAATGTTCCATGAATTTTGCAATGTAAATCCCGCAATCATTGCTGAACAAGGAAAAAAAATTAATTTTCCAGATCAAGTCACATTAAATAAATTCGTCTTATGGTAAAGTAACAATAACTCCTACCCATTGCCCTGTTTGGGACAATTTTCAGGCATAGTAAATTTGTAGTTGTTCACATCTCC